ACCAACTAGTCCACACGTCGTTACTACTACTCATCGGGTAGGAGCATCATGCAGTGGAGGCATATTATGTTATTAATACGTGCAGCTGGTTCATTGGCCTGGCTTCTGCGTGGACAACGGGCACCGACTGTCTGACACTGCCCGGGGTTCTTTTATAGAGTACGCAGCATGCAGATGTTTGTATGTTCCACCAATAGAGGGTAACGCCCTGATAAAAATATGTAATCTAAGAAAGTGTATTGGCTTAGCAGAAAGTTTAGCTGGCTATGTTCAGATTAAACTAACCTTCAGGCTCTGTTTTTTTTTTTTTTTTTGCAGCTCCGTGTAATGCTGTGCCATGGCATCTGTATTACACAACCACAACAGTCAAGGGTGGACCTGCAAAACAAGCTCCCTGAACCCATACTTTGGAAAGGAGCACATTGTCAGGTATGCAAACTTAACTCGGCAGTCATGATTCTCTAAAACTGATGAGTGCTATTTGGGAAAAAAAGAGCATGCTGACACCCAAATGTTTCAGAAAGTGTAACGTTTCTTGAACTATTCCTAGTGCCACAAAGCTCTACCCATCTTGTAGGCTCTGTAGTATGCAAAAATTCTTCTCTTTATTAAAGTGGTACGCTACAGGCTCAGTAACTTTGTTGATTGTGTGGTTTTATCCGCCGATGCAATGCAGGCATGAGGCGCGCCGTAGTGGAGGGCTCCGTATTAATTTTGACCACCTGGGGATTTTATCGTGCGCCGGAATATTGAAAACACAGGCGTTATTGCTTTTCACCTCCATCAGAAAAGCGGCCGCCGCGGCCGAGAATCGAACCTGCATTCTCTCCCTCAGCAGCACAACGCCTTAGGCACTGAGCAACCGCGGCGGGTCTGAGTAACTTTGTGTTTAGCTGGAAAATAACGCCATTTGTAGCTTTCTCAGCTTTTATTCAATGATCAACAACTCTTGATTGCTGAGAAATGAATAATTAAAGCTGGCATTTCTCTCCTCCATTCCCCTCACATTATTTCGTGAAGTTTCAGACCACGTAACAAAGCGCCCAGATCGAGTCGAGCCCGACTTTACTCGATCGTCCCCATCTTCCTGAAAGTTTGTTCTCGCCGGCTATTACTTCCGTCGCTCCCAATCACAAAGTCAACAGTGTGCCGTGTGTTTCCGACAAAGTTCCACTGATTCCCATCCGAATACGTGCCAACTAGCGCAGCTCCCAACCATTTTGCTGTTACAATTTGAGGTCACTTTAAAATGAAGTTTTTTACATATCTGATTGCAGTAGACAGTCTTCTTAAATTTAGTTTTAGTTCTATATCTTCAGAACTTGCACAATGGACAAAAAGTGGGAGTGTGCAAATTTGTGTAGGGAATGAAAAGGTGTTTATGCACAGGAATGTACTCATGCCAACTGTTCTAGCCAAGTACAATTACAAAAATTTCTTCAGCTGTTCCTGCAGGCCTGAAAGTGGGATTATTTTTATTATGCAACAGTTAACTAAAGGGTGGAATGTGTAAATGTATATTCTGGAAGGAAAAAGTCCTGCACAGCATGTAAACGTGAACGTTTATTCTTCATGCAGGTACACTGAAAGTAAAGGCGCTAGAAAACATCGAGATGCTGGCCTGCGGCTTTTCACATCAGGCCACCTGCAAAAGTTGGTGTTTTCAACTGAAGACACCGCAGAGACCGTGGTGAAGGCACAAGTTCTGGCATCCATGGCAACACGGACAGTGTACAGTGTTGGGGTGAAGTTGCTTAAGTGTGATGGGGAGCTTGTCAGTGGCAGCTGCTCATGTGTTGCTAGGAAAGGTGGTGTCTGCAAACATGTTTGCTGCGTTTTGTACGGGCTGATGCACATTGCGCAACATGATCTCACTGAAGTACCAAATGCCATTGCATGCACTGAAGGTGAACGGCAGTGGTAGAACCCGCGGGATCCAAAAAAAGTGACTGAGCAATTTCAACAGATTGTATTCTCCAAGGACACCACTGAAAAAATCAGTGATGCACCAAGGCTTCACAAAAAACGAGCAGCCTACTCATGCTTGAGAACACAAGACTCGAATCTGTCAACACTGAGCCTCATAAACTTGCATGGAAACTTCAAAGAATGTGGGCTCGATTGCTTCGCAGACGTACTTGAAGCAAATGACTTTCTTCCCGAAAAACAAAGAAATGTTGAGAGCCCCGCTACCGAAGATGTGGCTGGGCTACCTTTAAGGTGGCTGGAGCGAGCCAAACAGGGGAATGCTTTGCTGTCATACACAGACGAAGAAGTTACAGCCGTAGAGGCAGCCACACGACTGCAAAGTGCTTGCCTCCTTTGGCATATGTATAGGGAGGGTCTGATCACTGCATCTGTAGCGCATAGAGTTTACACATGGGTCAGGACGTGCCAAACCAAAATGGGGCCGCATGATCCCCGACGTCTCATCGCAGCAGTGGTTGGGAAAAAGAAAGGCAGGGCAACATTTGCCATGAAGAGAGGCCTGCTGTGTGAGCCTGAAGCCAGGAAAGCCTTTCAGGACAAAAATGACAGCCACGTGGAGCTTGAGGGGACTGAAACTGGCCTCTTCCTCTCTCGTCATCACGCTTTTCTAGGTGCAAGCCCAGATGGGCTCGTGAAGTGTAAATGTTGCGCACCACGGCTGCTTGAGATCAAAGTGCCCCTAAAAATTCAAGATTTTGCCAAAAGGCAGTTGCGTGCTGGGGAACTAAAAAAAAGTAGTGGCTATTATACTCAGGTGCAAGTGCAGATGGGTGTGACTGGTCTGAACACCTGCGTGCTGTTTGTTTACAGCAAGGAAGAGTGCCGACAAATCTCCGTGCCATTTGACCAGAGTTTCTTCACGGAATTCATAGAACGTTGCAAATTTTTTACTTCCAGCTACTTGCTTCCCTACATTTCCAGTAACTGGTAAAGTAAAGCTAGAAAATGTTTTCAAGCTTGTGCGTGTGTTTTGTCATACCATAAATACTTCAAGCCAGTAGAGTAGCCCACCAGAGTTATGCTTCTGTGCCTGTAAATTGCCTTTTCTACAACAAAGATGTTTATGTATGAGGTTTGTGCATTTTTGTTCTGCGTTAACAAGAACAGTCTACCCTCTTTCTTTGTACATCATTCACGTGCATAACTTGACCACGCTGGGGAAAAATAGTACAAATGAGCGTGAGGCCCTCCAGTGTGAAGCGTCTGTGTGCTTCATGCTAATTTCGCGGAGGCATAGGCTTGCTTATTTATGCCATGAAGCACACGAAACTGCACCACTGGCGTTATTGTTGCTACTAATATTCACACCATTATGGCTTGCGTGCTACTGTAAGGGCCGGCCTTGCTCCAAAACAGCAACTTATGTGGAATTTAAAAAAATTCTCGGGGCACCTAAGCTTGCTTACGTACTGTGGAGGTAAAAAGCCTGGTGATACTTATTAACTGCTTCTTTACTGATAGGGTATTTGTGTTATTTGTGTCTGTCTTCATTGCCACTTTGTTCAATGTAATGTTACATTGACGGGCTCTTTTACTGCTGCATTGTCTGTACTTCTCTTTTCGCCTTCATTTTGAATTAATTCAAGGTGAATTAAACAAGCAGACCGGTAACACATGCCACAGCTTTCCATGAATCAGTGTTTTGTGGGACAGCGAGGCACCTGCTCACGTGTCACTTGGCATGAGCTATTCGAACTTTTATCCCACCACTGCTAATGTGTAGGCCTGTGCTATGATGTGTTGTGACCCGCTTCTTTTATGGCCCTACTTTTTACCCACCACTGCTAGTGTGTATGCCTGTACTATCATGTGCCTTCTGGCCTGTTTTTTTTTTTTTTTTGTTTTCCTGAAGGCCCTACACAGTTTACGGGAAGCACGAAAACAATGTCAAATAAACCACTGTACTGGAGCCCTATGTGGAAAATATTTTTAGACAACTGTTTCTTGCAAAACAGGCGGTTGCAGGCTTCTTGAAATTTACTCGAGCACTGTGTAACGCCGTTTCTTCACAGCTCCATTATCCTCCTGCAGCTGGTTTCTATGCAGGAAATGATACACTCAACATACCTTCAGTTTATCAATGAATGCTGTCACGCATTAAAAGGCTACGTCAGCCTGTTAATTAACCTTTCATGTTTATGTTAAACCACAGCAGACTGGATGGCTGGACACAAGGGGACAATATGGTGATAGCCCATACAAGTATGCTTCTCAATGGGCAGCTATGGCCACGATCACGAGCTTTTACCCTATCGAAATAAATGTATGTACCTATTCATTGACACCGCCAGGCATCGGTTCACTTCAATTTTAATGGAAAGCATCAAAACGTGCCGCTGTTTGAAATGGTGACAGAGATGAAGAGAGTATGGCTATTGCATACTGCACGTTCATGACAGTACAGGTAGCAATGTGTTATGACAACAAAAAAGAAAAGGGGGGTCAATGCAGACAACACATCTTTTCGTGCAAGTAAACGTAGTTCTCAAGAAATTTAGAGAATAAGGGAATGACCAAGTAAACAAAGCAAATAAACTGAATACAAAACCTAGGCAGGGACATTTCTTATGATGCTTGAATGTGCACGGGAAGGATACGGCTCTTCGTACGTGCCCTCCTGAAGGGATTGGGTTGTTCCTTGTTTTGGGCTAAGGTGAATAAAAAAGCTTGGAGAGACGGTGAGAAGTTCCTAGAACAGGCACAATGGCCTATATCCTTCCCATTTCTGGCTGTGTTGCATGGCCAAAAAAGTAGTCAAATGTAGTGCAAGCGAACTGGCGCAGCCTATCAGCAGACATGCAGACTTCACTCACATCTGCTCACAGCAATGGCTCACCCACAAAGTTTGTCAAGCGTGCGCAAACATGCCACACCTTGTTCAGTTGTCCAGACATGCTGTTTGGAAACACCTGTGAGAGTATTCTGTAGGTCTTTATCCTCCGAATGACCCTTTCCACATGTATGCGCACACTGGCAATAAGCCTTGTCTCAGTTTCATCTGCTTCAGACAGTTGAGGCCGTCCTTCCATGAATGGCGGAATGTTCAAGTGCAGTGAAAGTTCCTTGCACTCTTCTTCGATGGTGAACCCCCTATCAGCCATCAAACTTCGCCCTGGTGAGAACTTTTCCAACACACCGGAAGCCTTTGTTAGGGCCTTGTCAGACAGCCTCCCAGGAGAAAGATCGGACACGAACATAACAAAGCCGTTCGGGCTGCACACAACTAACCCTTTTGCAGTATTGTGCTTTTTGTACGAGGAATAGGTCTCACTCTGTACACGGAATGACGAGGGGGTTTCGATGAAAATTTCGGTGCAGTCGAGGATGCCGTCAACAGTGGTGTAGCCCTTGTCAGTGAAAGCTTGTGGCCTGTACATGTCGCACAGGTGGGGAGGCATCCAAGTTGGGACCTGAAAAAAAGAAGGAAAAGTGGGTTTTCATATTTTTTACATTAATATCATCAGTGGCTTAGGAACGGGCGGGGGGAGTGGTCTTAGAGTGGTGGATCTATGCGAAGGATCTAAGACTGCATTCTCAATGCACATGAATCTCCCCATTGCTCTTAATGTACGATTTAAAAAGTCACCTTCTCCACCTTTGATTTTTGCCACAAGTACTGGCACTGCTCTGCAGTAGAGACCGCAAGATGAGTCATCACAGCTTGTAACACTGTCAAATGAATCTACAAATGCTCTAAAAATTAGCAAAAAACACACGGGCACACGAGAAGCATGCTGGGATAAGCATTCTCTCAACAAAACTTTTTTTGGAAGCATCGTTACATATAAATAAAATCATTTACTGCATTGGGCATGTGCTGTAAGACCCAGAAGGTTCATCGATTGATTTATTGAGTTATAATGCACAGGCACTACATAAGTTATAAGGTGCACTGTAGTGGAGGGCTTCAGTTTAATTTGATCAGATGGGAACCTTTACCGAGCACCTTAATCTCGAATATGCGAGCATTTTCGCTTTTTGCCTGCGTAAGAAAAGCGGAAGCCACGGCCGAGAATCGAACCCGCATCCTTGGGCAGCACAACGCCGCGGGCACTGAGCCATGTAGCAACCCGCAGAATAAAAAAAGTGAAATGAGTACATTTAAGGTGAGGTGACATGTGACGTTGCTTCCAATAATTTTTAGCTGAGAGTGAGTGCTTGTCCCATTGTGCTTCGCCTGTGTTGTATTTTTGCGCTCTGGGTTTTACAAGCGTGCACCAACTGCCTAACGAGTAGTTTTACTGAAATTTACTTTAATTCAATCGATCCATCTTAGAATGCAAACACAAGGTGTTCAAGCTGAGCAATCTTGCAGTAAGCTTAAAAAAGCATGCTTCGGGGAATTAAATTACCTGTACGTTCTTAGCAGGTATCTTGACAGACAGAAAGGCAGTAGTGGGGGCTAATATATCTGGCCATGAGGGGAAGGCTGACAAACACCCCTTGAAATAGAACCCTGGCTACGCGACTGATCAGTGTACAGTTGGCCTTTTATACCTAAAATTCCATCCAGTCCCCTTTCTCCCTTCCCATAAATGTTGCAATTTGTCGCGGCCATCACAGAGACCACAAACAAAAGGCAATAAAAAAAGATAACTGGTGCTGACATACCTGGCGAAGCCTGTTGTCCAAAAAATCCAGCCATGTTACCCAGATCCTCGAAACGGTTGACGTAGAAACGCCAAACCTGTACGAAAAACAAATTTGCAAAAAATGCGCATCAGTAATTTTCTGCAGCACAAACAAAAGAACCTACGGTTGCAATGAAGATGTCATTGCAGAAGATGCTTAAACGGTACTGAATTCCTTTTGTGTAAGCACCTTGTTACTTCCAGTCATTTTCATTATAAACGATAAGTGAAAAAGTGCTGCCTACCATTGCTGATATTTTGAGGAACGTACGAATACACAGCATGCTGCATTCCCCCTATGCACAAAGTAACTAACAAAACCAGCTACGCTCGGCAGGAACACTGAAATTTGGCTTAAACTTGAATTTCTCAGTGAATGAAAGTTCGTTTGCTCCCGGACAAGCACTAAGGGTATTACAAAATACCAAATCTTTTGAATAAAGCAAACTCGTATTTTGTCTTCATGGCCCCTTTCGGGCTGATTGGGTTATGCTTGTTTCCCTCACAGCATATTCATAAATAACATTATACACAGTATGCCCGCGTAAATGTATTGGCATGGTAACAGAGTTTCATTAGTCACTCCACTTGGACCTTATGCAAAGGCAAAAATGAGTACTGATGCAAAAAAAAAACACTTCAACGTTGGCAGCGTACCTGTACGCAAGGTCAAGGCCGTCAAGGCCCAGCCGTAGCCTCATCAGGACGAGCACAAGCTGTGTCTTCAAAGGCAGGATGAAGTTCCGGTCCTCGTTCTCCGTTTCCTTCATCTGCCAGAACCGCAGCTTTTTCGCATCTGGTTCAAGTAGGGACCAAAAACTGTCGAAGGACTTTCTGGATGTAAAGCCAGTGTAGTACCGCAGCTTCTTTTCATCTTCTACAAGGGCTTCATACGTGATGTCAATCTTTTGTGTAGCTTCAGCCTTGCACCTCTTGACTTTCTTCTGCATACAGGATAGCTCAAGCCGCAAGCACCTATTCTTCTGCTGAAGGCGGTCACATAGCTTTTTTGCTTCAGCGTGGTCCTGTTGAGAGCGTTTTAGCTGGCGGTTGAGCTCTTCAACATGCGCGTAAGCAGCTTCAGCCTTTTCTGCTAGCTCAGTTATTATATTATTTTGGCAAGCAACTTTCTTGGAAAGCTGGTCATAGCTTGACTCTTGGCTGCTGTAGGCATGGTCCATGAGTAGAGTGCTTTGCTGTGCGGTGTCTTCACTGTCGCTGCTGCTACTAGTGATGGCAGAGCCTGAGACTTCTGGGTCGTGCTGGGGTGCCACAGTTGGACTGTTGGGAAGTTCCGGCTGTCAGGGGAAAATGAAAAAAGAAAGCCATGTGTTTCAGTGATTTTTACAACACACTGTGCAGCTGCAGGTGAGATTTCCAATACTGCATTTTATACCTTCACACGAGTTTAAGTTTACTCGGCATCATTGCTTTTTTTACGCAGTAGCGCAACCCTTAAGTAGCCATTGCCTGCATTAAGCCATAACAAAATATTCAGTGGTGCATATGCAACAACGTAATGCTATTTCTCTGCATTGCTTGCGCTCAAATTACCTGTGTCCTTATGAGTGGTCGCCTCCTTTCCACCTTTTGCGGTCTCAGCGGGAAGATTGTGGGCACTCTGTTCATGTAAGTCTTTTTTCCTCCTTCGAAGTGGGCACCGCATACTCGGTGTCCCGTGGTAGGCGTAAACTTGGAGAACCTGAGCACAAAAAGTTCCAGCATTATTTCATATGACACTGAACATCACCTACTGCGTTTTCAGGTTCCTTTTAAATGTCCAGTCTGCATGCTACCACTGCAAGACAACAGTATCACTTTCTCTTGATTAACGTACAAAAAGTTCCATATCAGTCAAGGGCAAATGACAAATGTAATTTTAATTTTCAGCCTCACTCGACAACGCCACACACAGGTAAATTATACAGCTGTTTGTGCCACTCATCTGCATAGGTGCAGCGAAAGCGGCCGCGTGCATGCACCAGATAACTATTTTACGGAAAGGACGAGATTACAGAGGCACCGTTTGCATCGAGGGTGATCCGCGAAAGCTAATCGCCGTTTGGCACAACGAGTTCTGGGTAAGTTGTTGCAAGCGTGCCGTGAAGTACGTTACGTCGTTTCTAAAAAGTAAGGTCTCGATGTACGGTAGAGCTATTAGGAGAGCCTCGTCAATGAGCTTGCCTTCCCCTTATGCCTGCATGCTTGCCACTTGCGTTGTAAAAAAAAAAAAACGCAAGCCGCGTACGCGGTGCTGCACTTGCGCAACATGGAAAACTAAAAGACCTCAGCACTACAACTCGTAATAATAATAATATTAGTACGCAGCGGTAACAAAAAACGCTAGAATAAGGAAGATGCGCTAAAAAATGACCGGCATGCACAACCGCGAACCGCGGCTGAGCTATCCGGTAAGAGTATACGCAGGCAGAGTGAGCAAAGATCATATTCTTTGGTATGCTAAGCTTCATGATTAAACATTCACATAAAAAAAACCACCGCAATACGCTTATTTAGTTTCAAAGCGGCACTATACATTTAATAAGATGTCTTACCTGCCGCCCCGTCCAGCCCTGTTGATACGCTGAATCCACGTCTCCCGAAGCTTTTGCTCTTTAGGAAAGACGTAGAAACCCAAGCCTTTATCCCTTGTGCTGTTGTTGTAGCATCCAGGAACACAGCACGTAAATCCTCCCATCGTAAGACGGCTCCACACGACCGAAAAATCTATCGAAAAGGGAACGCTCAGGCACTTCGGCTGGCTGGTGCGCCCGGACGACTACAAGTACCGGCATGCACCGCGGCTGCCGCGGCAGCGGTGGCGTCGCGAAACTGGCCTGTGGGATCGGTCTATTGTCTATGCTCCCACATTTCCCGAACATCTCAGGCGTTTGGAAATGATCTTGCGTGCTCTCCAAGACGCTCGCCTTTGCATCGGACATTCCATGTTTGAGTGGGCACTGCCGTTTCACAAACATTTGTGCAAGAGGCAGGAGTACCGCAAGGACGTGTATTGAGTTGTGCACTTTTTATAATCAAAATGAATTCCTTGCGTATGTCCATCCCACAAAATGTATTTTATTTCACTTAGGTCGATGGCGTACAAATCGGCTTTAAATCATGCAGCCTTTCATTGTGTGAGCGGCAGGTTCAGCTGTGCTTAAATAGGTTTTCGAAATGGGCAGATAAGAATGGGTTAAACTGAACCCACATAAAATCACGCGTGTCTCATTCTCCAGAAAGAGAGGCCTATATCCTGATCCGAACGTTCACCTGCATGGTCAATGTTCGTCTGCTAAAAGTGAGCATAAGTTCATCGGCCTAATATTAGACAGCAAACAAACATTCATCCAACATATTAAGTACCTAAAAACAAGTGCTCGAAAACCATGTGTATTCTAAAAGTATTCTCATGAACTTCGTGGGGTGGTGACAAGAACTGTATCACGAATATATATAAAAGGGTGATACGTACACGCCTATATTACGGAGCAATAATACGCCAGTCTGCAACACCAACTGCCCTAAAGATGATCGACCCTGTTCACCATCTTGGAATTCGTCTTTCCAGAGGTGCTTTTCGTATTAGCCCTGTAGAAAGCCTGTACATGGAATCTAACGAGTGGTCACTACATCTCCATAGGCAATAGCTATTTTTATATACTTTTTTAAAAAATGCAAACAACGAACACCTTGTACACCCCACCATCAATGACTTGTCTAGTTCTGTTCAATTTCAAAATGGCCCAGCCATGAGACACCCCTACGCACTTCGTGTGAGGAGTTCCGCCGAAGAAATGGGTGTGCCACTTTGTGAACACCATTTGGCTGCTCCCGCTGTATATGTCCCGCAATGGCAGAGACGGCTAATAGATTGCGATAAGACTGCGTCTAAGTTACTCAAAGCGCGCCTATAGCACAAGTTTATACACACTTTGTTGAACTGCGCACAAATATTTATGCCCACAATTTTTACCGATGCTTCAAAGACTCGCGCCTCTGTGTCCTACGCAGCGGTTCGTCCATCTTTTGCAGATATAGGTGTTCTGTACCTCAATACGAGCATCTTCACTGCAGTGGCATACGTGATATTATCGACCATCAACATATCAAAGAATCAAAACTCCCAAAAGTTGTGATAAATACTGATTTTCTAAGCGTGGTAACAGCTCTGAAATCCCTTAGAAACATACGAACCCTATTCTGGTCTCTGTCTACCCACTACTATGTTTGATCTACGCACATAGACAATATGTTGTAGTATGCTGAGTGTCAGGACATCGCGAGATTCAAGGCAACATGTTAGCGGATCAGCGAGCTGTTTCCGCCCACGAAAATTCCACAATCAATACATCTATATCTGTACCTACACTTGACCTCAAACACTTCGTTAAACGAAAGCTCAGGGAGTATTGACAGCGTTTATAGGATAGGCAAACAAAGGATAAACTTCGCCTCATCAAGACACATATTGCGAATTGGCCGCCAACATCGAAGTTGCGCTACACTGAAGTAACACTCACCAGATTAAGAATAGGGCATACACACAACACACACTCACACCTTTTGTCTGGTGGCGATCCATCCCTCTGTGAAAAGTGCGGTGAACCTCTCACCGTGCTTTATGTTTTATTACACCGCAAAGAACTGGATGCAATTAGAAGAAAACACTTACCATTTCCCTTCCACCATCAAATTCCCATGCACCCATCGATGTTTATAGGTGAAGAACCACTTTTTTGTTGTCAATCGCTGTTCTCGTTTTTAAAGGATGTGAATATTTTCACGTCATATTTCCAGGCATCCCCGCAGCACAACCACAGAGTTAATATGCAGAGTCTGTATAATAAATCCATGAGAACGACCTCTCTGAGAAGAGGTCGCTGCTGCGATGGCTACACTGAACAAAGCACTTGTCTCGCGGCCCTTGGACACAAGGGCGTAGACGATCGTGGCACTTGTGCTAATGCCATACATATCCACCATGGCTTTATTATCATGAACTTTTGCCATCCATTCGCACTACCCACATCCCACATCATGGTCATGATTTTAATACTTCTATGTTCTACCCGGCTTAGCGGGAGAAATTTTAAGGCCCCTATACAGCCAATCATTATAATCATTGTTCATACCTGTAGTACTATGACCTGGCGCTCTTTGGCCACTGAATGGCCGTTGCGTCACAAAACACCAAACATCATCATCGAGAATGCCTGACGAATGTTATCCACCCCATCCTTATTTTTTCTAGTTATTTCGCTCTCATGGTTTGGCTACGTGGTTACTACCTGTCCTAAGTAGACGTAATCCTTCACAAATTTCAGCGTCTCTCCACCGATCCCGAAGCGTTGTTTCCTCCCATGACTGTTGCACATTACTTTAGTTTTGTCCATATTATTTCCAGACTTACTCCTCTGCTTGTCGTGTTCAGTTCAGTATTTATGAGCCGTATATAACACGTCCCCTGAGTTACTTATCAAGGCAATGTTATCAGTGAATCACAAAGTACAAACATTATCTCCATTATATCTGATCCCTTAGTCTTCCGATTCTAGGGCCCTGAAAACGTCCTGTAAGAACGTGGTGAATAGTTTAGATAGATCGTGTCTCCTTGCATTACAGCCTTTTTTGGGGATTATATCGCTTTCTTTATGAAGCACTATGGTGGCTGTGGATCCACTGTATATTTCTTGCAGTATGTTTATGTACGGTTCATTGCCCTGATTCTGTAAGCGCCTGCATTAGTGCTGATGTCTCGACTGAGTCAAATGCCTTCTCGTTATCTATGAAAGCTATATATTGGGGTTGGTTGTATTTCGCGTATTTCTCTATTACCACCCCCCCCCCCCACACACACACACACACAATGGGGCAGGCGTTTGATGTGTAGCGCCATTACGGACCCGAGCTAACAGGAGGTTCCAACCTCTCCCACGCCTTGCCGTGCGTGGCTTTTCCGCGTCCGGGGAAAAAGGGGACCTGGGGGTTGAGCCGACGCCAGGTAATTGAACCTGTAAGCCCCCCCCCCCCCCCTCTCGGCAGAGGGAACACACCCCTTTTGCCCCGGCTTCACGTAGACGGCACCACTGGGCTGACCCATCCAGGGGAAATCGGCAGTCACCTTTTCCTATCTCTCTCTCCCTACATCTCGGTCTTTTCTCGCTTTCAATCGTTCCTGTCATCTTCTCACTTCTTTTCACTTCCTTCTTTCAGGCGGCAAGGGTTAACCTTGTATATGTGCCCACCCTTGATCACATAATGTTGGCTTATAGTGGCTTTGTACAGCTGGCGCTGTCATGCCTTTTTATAAATGCGATGCCGCGTCCCCATGTTGAGCTCCACGGCGAGTGGCTGGCATGGCTGCCGCATTTATAGTTACTAATTGCCTCTTTTTCATTTCGCAAACTGTCTGATCGCCCTTCCCCTATAAGGTTGTGCCCCGAAGGGATGCTGAATGTCTTCCTAAAACCCAAAGAAATCTTCCTGTGCTTCCATGTGATTACATGTGATTCAAGTGCCAGCGTTTCGGCGACGGCTCTCAGAGCTGCCGCAGCCGTCAAACCTGTGTAAAGTGCACTTCGCACGAACACGCTGGAGACAAATTGGAAGAATTGCGACGCCCGACACCCCGCTTATTCCCGCAGATGTCCTACATGAAAACATGCAAAAAAAATACTTACACTCAAAGTCAATGAAAACACCTCGCTTAGGGAGGCCGTCTATCTTTGCAGGGTCCTTCGTTCGCGAAGGTTGCACGTGAGACGACCCCCTCTACGCCACCGATTACCAAAGAGAGGGAAGAACAATCAACCCTTTTTCTATTCGGTTCCCTCTTTGCTGCGTGTCTCAATCTCTTCCCACATACAGGGATTCAAGCTGGGGCCGGGAAGTGAGAGACACTACGACCTGTTCCTGTTTGCTGATTCATTTAATTTATTATTAACTTAAAACATCGTATACCGCGTACATAAACCACTACACAAAGTTATAACACATGATTTGGACATTTGCGACATTCGACACAGGGCAGGCACATAAAGAAAGTAACTGTAACAATACAAGGGTATGCATAAAAAAACACACGACGACACAAATGATGAAGTTATCAATTATTAAAACCGCGCCATGTCTCAATATGCCACATCTTTTCCCGCAAAGCTCGTATAATTAAGGGAGGTGAAGTTCGTCTCACAGAATGTCCATGTAGTCGGGGCCTCGGAGTTGGCTGCTCGAATCGGGGCCGAAGGTTGGTTCTTGGCGTCGAGGTCTGATCTGTCCAATTCGTCAGCGTCTTCATCGTCTTCGTCATCGTCGCCTACGTCGTGCTTCTCAGTGATTTCCATCTTAGCTTCTCTACCATCTCGACCTCATCGCATCGTCTCTCCCCGCCTTCGTTCGCATCGTATCTCTCTGACCCTCTTCGCATCGTCTCTCTGACTCTCTTGTATCGTCTCGTAGTCCCTTTTTGTAGGACCAGAGTCCGCCCTACCGGGGCATCAAACCAATCGCCGCCATCGGCGCGGCATGTTTCTCTGTCAGTCGGTGTGTGTCATCTTCGACGGCCGCTCCCGCGGCCCACACCAGTATAAAACCCTCTCCCAAACAAAGGCGAGCAAGTAACAAAGTACAAACTCAAGCCTCAGAAAGAGAGATGGGCTAGCTGTTCAAGACACTTTAATTACGGGCGAACAATGGTCCCGATGCTTCCGACAAAGTACGTCGTCTGTAATGACCAACGTCCGGACCAAGTCTCAACGTTTCCATGCAGCTCGGTGTCTCTCGCAAAAATTCTCCGTAGCCGCCGCTTCTTCGTCATTCAACGACGCGAGTGGCCATCCACGC